GATAAAATAATTCTCTTTGATTCAAAATACTTAAAATATAAGCCACTCCAATAAGGAAACCATCATCAGACATGATGTAACCTTCTACATCAAGATTTGTTGAATTTCTTAATAAACGTTCTTTAGCAGCAATAATGAAGTCTATGTAAGTTAATAACAATGCAGGAAGAGATAAGTAGAAATGTTTAAGATGAGTATACCTTTGGGAATTTAATTCATCTTTAAATATTTCAACAAGTAAAGTTAAATATTTTAAGTCATATCCATCATAAGATTTAGAATATTCAGAAATAATTTTTGAAAAGTTTTCTGCAGCAGTTTGAATTGACTGAACTTGTTTAGAAGTTAAATCAACAAAGTCAGGAATATTAAAAAGATCAGGGATGAATTCAATAGTTTTGGCACAATGCATTAATCCACCTGTTCTTATCATTCTAACAAATCCAATAGAATTACCAATAAATGTAATTAACATTCTAAATAAATCTAAATAGCTTGAACTAACAACCTTTTTATTGTGTTTAATTTTTCTAAGTCCAAGTCGTTTAAATTCTTTAATATCTAATTCTGCCATTGCTAATGTATAATTTTTTCCATCAAATGTTTTAAGTGATTTCATTAAAATACCTTTTATTTGATCATCAAATAAAAATTCACTTAATAATGTAAATTGTTTTAATAAATATTGATAAACATAATTGACACATGTATTCATTATTCCCATTCCATGTGTTTTAATTGATTCTGCAATTTGATTAATTCCAATAGAACTTAACCTATTGCCATCAGATTCTCTTTCAATAAAACATTGAGAATATAAATTATAATGATATTTCATAACAAAAGATTGAATATTTTTCATTATTCTTAATACATCAAGTCCTTCAACTGTTGTTTGTCCAATTAAATAATTTTCAAAAAGATGTAACCCATATTTTTTTTCTCCTAATACTTTCATTCTTTGATATTCATCCCAATTATAATGTTTATAGAATTTAATTTCTAATGAATTTTCTATTTCACTTTTAACATGAATACATCTATTTAAAATAATAATTGGATGATCAATTATTCTTTGTATATCTTGAATTGGATGAGAAACAATGTTAACATCATTAACATTTAATTCTCCATAAATTTGTAGTCTTAAATCTTCTTCAATTTGAGTTTGTAATGGTTCAACAATTATTTTTTTAATTAAAACTTCAATTTCATTATTTAATGCATCATAAATATCTCCAACAATAATTGTTTGAAGTGATTGGTTTTTAATAATAAATGAATATATTTTATTAAATTCAATAAAACTTTCATAAAATTCTTCATTTTTAATAATATTTTCATATATTTTTTCTAATAATGGATATCTTACAAAATAAAGAAATGCCATGTTTGTTGCATTTTTTAATTCTTCATTAATTTCATTAATCATAATAATTTCTTTTATTCTTTTCCAAATAGTATCAATTTTATCTGCTTTACAATCTTTTCTTAATTGATCAAGATATATTTCCATTAGAATAAATTCTTTAGAATTTATATTTTCATTCATATATTTTGGAATAATATCTTTTAATTTTTCTGCTTCATTATTCTTTTTAATTGTATTAATTTCTTGTTCTACTTTATTAATTAATTTTATAATTGATTCATGTTTACTTCTTTGAATTTTTTCAGTAATTTTGATTATAAGATTACAATACTTTAATGTAACTCCAATAACACTTATTGGTGTTGGTCTTCCAATTAAACTAAATCCATATAACAATTCAACTATCCTTCTTTTTAATTCATAAATAAGTTCTATCCCTGTTGTTAATGAACCTTTTTTTAATAAAAATTCATTACAATTTGTAATTAATGTTGATGGATCTTTTATTACTTTCATACTTTCATCTAAACTTATTGTTCTTGTCTTTCTTATTCGACTTATTAGATTTGATGAATCAATAGGACTTTTTGAATCAAAACAAGTTAATATAACTGGATATTTACGTGCTATTTCTTCTAAATTCTTATCTAATGTTCTTGACAATGAACGTTCAGATGACCATGAAACATAAGCATAGCAAAGATAAATAACTGATAAAATATCTTCTGGTGATGTACTTGATTTAATAATTCTAGAAGTTTCAAACAAACATACAGAATGCATTATTTTAATAAATAAGGAAGATGGAAATTTAGAAGATGGTAAAGAGAAATCTTGTTTTAATATATCATTTCTTCCTTGAAATTTATTTTGGAATGTTGTTATAATCACTAATAAGTTTGCAATTTTTTCTGCATTAGGATTATCTCCAACTGCAGCACCTGCATAATTTGATATTAAATGATAATAAAAACTAATATGTGCCAAAAGGATTGGGTTATTATGAATTGATATATCAAGAAGAGTATGTGCTGATAATAATCTTCCAATATCATTAAATAAAGTTCTAAAATAGCTTTGTACTTTAGCCTGAAGAGCAGAAGTAATAAATTTAACAATAGACTGAACCAATAAAAAACATTTTTTTGAAAAAACTATGACTGAATGAATTGATGGAATTAATGAAGTAATCATATCCATTTCTACTGAACGTGGAATTACACATTTTTCTTCTGATAATTTCTTTGTTACTGGATTATAATCGCCATATGTAATAAATTTATGTTGGAGACTTGGTAATTCTTGAAGAATTTCATTTGTTTTTGAATGTAATAAAATACAATTTTTTAATAAAACTTTCATATCATTTGGAGCATCATCAAGTGCATGAGTCTCTGGTTTCATTTCCATAGAAAAAGGAATTGTTGGTATATGTTGGTGGTTATAACTCATTTGTGATTCACTATTAATATATTCTCGAGTCATTTCATTGATAGAAGATATATAAGTACTAGACTGGTCTTCAATTTGTTTGGCTTGTTGAGGTGTTATTGTTGTCATATTAAGAAATTTGTTAATAAGTTATTTTGTTCACAAAATAATTTTTTATTTTTTCAAAATATTTGTTTGAAATGTTATATATAACGAATTTGTTTGAAAGATTAAAATAAAATTTATCAATTTAAAAAGAATGAGAATAAAGTATAAACAAATTTAAATCATTCAAATAATATTCTTTTTTTTTATTTTTATAAGATACTGTTGAAGATTATAAAAACTTTTTCATTATATTATTATAATCTTAAAAATTTATTGTCTAATGTAAATATTTCTGTGTAATATATAAAAAATTTCTTCTATGTTCATTCTACATATTTGGAGTATATTTTATATTGTTTATCTTTCTTTTTTAAATTCTATAGAGTAGAAATATTTTAATATCATATATCTTTCTAACTTTTTAATTATTATCATTTTTTGAAATTATATTACAAAAGATAAATAAGAAAAACTGATTTACAATTCTTAATATTGTTTGTACTTTTTTTGTAAAATAAAATAACAACTATTTTCATAAGGTAAATAAAAAAGGTTTTAGTGTCATCATTTTATAATATAAAAAATATTAAAGATAATATCCATTCAAAATAACATTATTCTCTCTTAAAATAATACAGAAGAATAATTTTATTTTTAAAGATAGAAAGAAAATACAAATAGATTCTATGACTCTATTCATCATAAATTTAGGAAATAATGAGATAAAAAATAACAATTAAAATAAACTCCAGTACTTTGAAATATTTAAAAATAAAAATAAATCAAATAACAAAAATACAAATTTGGTATTAATATTCATTTTTTGTTTTTAAATGTATTTATAGTTATTCCAAATTTAGCATTTTAAGAAAAAACAAAAAGAAATATAAAAATAAATGAGAATAAATTAAGCAAAAGTTCCCGAAAGGACAGAGAAATAATAAAATCAAAAAAAGTGTCTTGAGAAGAGAAAAGAGGAAAAATCCCGAAAAAATAAAGGAAAATATAATAAAAATGAAGAATCCAAAAGAAAAAAAAGACAATTGAATTGAACTGCAAAAGTAAATGAACGCATTAGTAAGAAAATTAACATACATTGCAGAGGATTGTGGGTTCACTTATCAAGAACTTGAAGAACAACCACAAGAACCAACTTCAGAAGAAGAACAAGAACAAACTGAATTTGGAAAAAGAAGACATATTTTAAAAGCACAAATTAAAGAGGCTAAAGATTTAATTGAGAAAAGAGCAGAAATGGAAGCACAACCCGATGTCGATAAAGTTGAAGTTGTGAAAATTTCTACAGACATTCGTAAAACAATGAAAGAAGTAATTCGATTAGCAGAAGACTTAAGAGCATATCATGACAATGATGTATATAAGAATAGAAAGAAAGTTTGTCATTAAACCATAATTACAATGAAAGATATTTATTTTATGATAGAAAGATCCAAAAATTAGAGATAGGTTAGGAATTGAAGAAGAGTCTCTTAAATGTATTCAACAACATATCGAACAATTACAAAAAATGGATAGAGAACGAAGTGGAATGGGTGATGTTAATACTGGAAGACCAACAGTGAATGGATTAGATAAATATAAAGTAGATGAACTTCCTGATATAGAAGATGATGAACGATTTAAAATATTAAAAGAAAATGATAAAGAGATTGATGCGAAGTTAGATATTCTTGCTCAAGGTGTAAAAGATGTTAAAAATGTAGCACAAGAAATTGGAGGTAAAATTGATGTTCAAAAAGAAAAATTAGATGTTCTTGAAGATAAAGTTGATCATGTTAATGATCGACTTGATGCAACAAATGCTAAATTAAAAGGATTACTTGAAAAAGTACGTGGTCCAGATAAAATGTTAATGACAATAATGATGATTTGTTTGCTTTTAGGTGTAGTCAGTATTATCGCAATGATTTTCCTTAAATGAATAATTTACGATTGATGGTTTTATTTTTAACTTTTTACAAATTTTAATTCTTTTAATTCCTTCATTTAATATTTTCTTTTATTTATTAAAATTTTATTTAAAATTTATTAAAAATATTAAATATTAAATTTTTAGATGAAAGTAAATTTAAAGATCTGCAAATTCTTGTGAACATGATTTCTTAATTGTTGATTTAACAATTTTTGTTCGTTTAGATGATATTTTAGTACCATCAGGATAATTCCAAACTGATTCAACGACTATTTCATCAGCTTGTTTACAAAGAATAAATAATCTATTTGCACAACTTTCCCATTGTTCTACATAATGCCCATCACAATTATAGACTTGAAATTTATATTCAAATGGAATGGTGTTAATATCAACTTCTGCTATACATTTTCCATCTTTATATGTCATAGTATATCCTTCTGTCCAACTACCAAGTTCTTTAGCAGAACCACATACTCTAACTACTTGTCCTGGATGGGTTTTATAATCAATAATAAATATAATATGAACCATTCTGTTTTAATTAGTCTTTATAAGATTCTCCTTAAATAGTATTCAAAATCTCTACTAAAAAACTCGAAAGGCCTTTCTCCTTGCGGCATCACTTCTTTCATCTTTATTCTTTAAAAGAATCTTCGGATTTTTTCTTTGAATAAAATTATCATTTTATAATTCTTTTATAATTTATTTATTAATTATTTACTATAATGTGAATATTGTTTGTGATTTTTAACAGTTGGGGTAATTCATTTTTTACATCTTTTGATCGTTGTTCTTTTCATACAAAAATTAGTGATGTATAACATAAATTTAAATTAACTCAAAAATGAAAGAAAGAAAACTAAGATGTATGAAACCTAATACTAATACAAGACTAAACTATCTTAAAAAACTTAAACTCTGTTTATATAATTATTGTAAAGATGTCAAAGCAAAAGGAAATAGACTATTGTTAGATAAAGAAATTGAAAGAATAAAAAATGATCCGTACATTAAACTAATACTTACTTATATGGAAAAGAAATCTAATCAACTCATTGATTTATGTGACTCACTTAACTTAAATCATTTTATTGAATGCATTGAAAATTCTACTCCTTATTTATATAAACAAAATACTTTTAAAAATGGTTTGAATCAATTTATGTCATTACACATTGGTGATTATATTAAAGAAAATGGTGAAAATGAACAATGTTTTTATGACAAAAATGAAGAATATTTCTCTATGCAAAATCAACAAGAAGAAGAACAAAGTGAAAACCAATCAATTCAAATTGTTCAACCAGTTACAATTATTAATGATATTGATGATGATAAATATCAAATGGTTGGTGGAGGAAATGCACTTAGTTCATTATTACATATAGTTAGTAATCAACCTACAGATGAAAATGAATTAAAAATTAAGCAAATGTCATTATTAAATGATAAAGAAAATAAACTACTTCCAAATGTAAAAAAAAATCAAATCCCAAAGAAAACAATTACATATTCTCGTATAAATAAACAACCACTAGACGAAAAAGAAACAATAACTCAATCACCACTAATTCCAATGAATAATTGTTATGAAGATAATGATAAATCTAATAATTATATACTTGATGAAGTACATAATGAAAAAGAAGATAAAAACATTGTTGATTTAACAAATATGAAAGAACCAGCTTGTCTTGCTTTAGACATTGAAGAAGATTTTTATGTATTAAGAAAAAAAGATGATCATGTTAACCAATGTTATGATTTATCATTAGAAACTCAGTCAATTTTTAGATCTTTAATTCCATTATTGTAATTGAATAATATTTATAAAATCATCTTATTCAACTCTAAAGATCTGTAAATTTTTATTTAAATTAAAATGGCTTCTTCTTTTACAAAAGAGCTCAATAACAATTGTTTAAGCCAATTAGACTTTAATGACAATAGAGATTTTGAAGATGCTCAAAGAGGATTTATTGGTACTATTGAAGATGGTATAATCCTTACCAAAGAAGGTAATATTTCTTATTCAATGAAGTCTTATGACTTCTTAAAAGATAAATGTCCTGATACTGTTAATCCAAGTTTATGGAGACAATGTCAACTTAATAGAATTCATGGATTATTTGAAGTTTTAAAAGATAAAATTTATCAAATCAGAGGTTTTGATATTTCTAATATGACATTTGTTAGAGGAGAAAAAGGATGGATTGTTATTGACACATTAACCACCGTTGAAGCTTCTTCTGCAGGTCTTTCTTTATTCAGAAAACATTGTGGAGAACTTCCAATTACAGCTATTATTATTACTCATTCTCATGGAGACCATTGTGGTGGATTTCTTGGAGTTGGAACAGATGAGACGAAAGTATATGTACCTCCTAATTTAATTAATGAGTTAATTAGTGAAAATATTTTTGCTGGTCCTGCTATGGATAGAAGAAGTATTTATATGTATGGTCAAAACTTAACTACTGAACCAACTCAATTTGTTGGTAATGGACTTGGTCAACAACTGTCTCATGGACTAAATGCTTTTCCTAAATATTCTCAATGTATAGAAATTAAAGGTGAACAAGAAATTATTATCGATGGTATTAATTTCCATTTTATAGAAACTCCAGGAGCTGAGGCACCATCTGAGTTTGTATTTTATATTCCTTCTATGAAAGCATTTTGTGCTTCAGAAGAGATAAATCATATTATGCATAATCTCATTACTCTTCGTGGAGCAAAAGTAAGAAATGGAAAATTATGGGCTAATTATATTGATCATGTTATTGAGAAATTTGGTGATGATGTTGAAATTAATTTTGGATCACATCATTGGCCAACATGGGGAAACAAAAGGGTAAATGAATATTGGGAAAAACAAAGAGATTTATATAAATTTATTCATGACCAAACGTTAAGATATGCTAACCTTGGATATACTCCCAATGAAATTGTTAATTTATTAAAATTACCTGATTCATTGGCTAAGGAATTCTATTGTAGAGATTATTATGGATCTCTTAGTCATAACATTAAAGGAGAATATCAATTATATATTGGATGGTATGATGGTAATCCTGCACACTTAGACCAATTACAACCTTCAGACTTAGGGAAAAAATATGTTGAAGCACTAGGAGGAGAAGATAAAGTACTTGATTTTGCACAAAAGGCATTTGATAAAGGAGAATATAAATGGGCTGTTGAATTACTTAACCATTTAGTATTTACTAATCCAAATAATGAACAAGCACGTTTATTACTTGCTAATGTATATACTCAGATGGCTTTTTCACAAGAATGTGCTGTATGGAGAAATATTTATTTAAGTGGAGCACATGACTTAAGAAGAGAACCAATAACAATGGCAAAAAGTGATAATTTGAAGAATCCATATGTTCTTCGTTCAATGAATTTAACACACATTTTTGATACATTATGTATTATGGTAGATCCATCAAAATTAATTGGTGCTGATTGGAGAATTAATTTGTTCTTTGATGATGTGAAAGAAAATTATTGTGTTATTGTTAAGAATTGTGTTGTTAATATTAGAAATAATCTTCATAAACAACCAACTTTTACTGCTCATGTTACTAGAGAATTATTACTTGGAGTATTTGCAAAAAAAGTTAATCTTCAAGAATTGGTTCAATCAGGAAAGATTCAAATGAGTGGTAATCCTATGCATTTGTTTGGACTATTTGCATCAATTGGAGTTCAAAATCATCAATTTAATATTATTGAACCATAATTTACTCTTTTTTAATTCCAATTAATTTTTAATATAATAAAATATGTAATAAAATAATAACATACAAATTAATAAACCATAATTTTAATAAATCAAATAGTTAATAATTGATTAAATTATATTCTTATTTTTAATTAGCAATGAAGATATACGCAGTTATCCCTGTCCGAGAACTGCAAATGTGGATATGTTAACTAAGTCTGAGCTTAAGTTTTTTTTAATTAGCAAAACTGAAGAATAGAAAAAAAAAACAATTCATTCTGTTAAAAATTAAAAATTAAAAAAAAAAAACTAAAAATTTAAAAGGAATGGAAGATATTCAAAAAGCACTTCATATTGTTTATGGAAATGGTAATGATACTCAACTTAAAACCCAAGCTAGTTATTATCTTACAGAAGTTTTAAAAAAAAGAGAGTCTGTTCAGTATTTTGAAGGATTAATGCAAACACCTTCAGATGATTCTCTTCAAATAGTAAAAGTTAATTATGGTGCAACAATATTACAAAAAAGGTTAATGTATAGTTTTGATTTATTTCCTTTAAATATGCTTAATGGAATAAAAGATTTTATTTTCCAAAAATTAATTCAATTTAAAACAAATAATTTAATTGTCAAACAACTTTCATTATGTATTGTTGCATTAGCATTACAAGACCCTAGTTGGAATAATTTTATGGATAATGTTGTTCAAAAGATTCCAATTTCAAATGAAAATAATCCATTATTATTAACTTTATTTATGGAAATTGCTAATGCTTCAAGTAAAATGGATTTAATTGAAATATCTATGCGAAATAGATTTATTCAAATAATAAGTCAAGCTACTCCAACAATTATTCAATTTATTATTTCTATTTGTAATCAAGATATTTCATTAATCAATAAATCAACAGATTGTCTTTGTTCTTGGATTCAATATTCAACTATCTCAATTGATTATTATAAAGTTTCTCCATTAATTCCTTTCTTATTAAAACAATTAGGCTCTTCTTCATGTGAAGCAATATCAAATGTAATGGATACTTTTATTAAAAAATTAACTCACATTGATTCTCATGCTCCTTCTCCTCAAGAAAAAGAAATTATTATGAATATTGCTGTTGGTATTCTTCAAGAATATACTAATTATACTGTTATGATATCAAGAAATCCATTAAATTGTTTCTTTGAAATATCTCATTTAATTGCAATTGACTTATATAAATATATAACTTCCCAATATTCTATGTTAATCAAAGAACATTTAAATCAACTTATTCTTGCATCTGACACTATTAATGAAGATGTAATTAGAAATGTTTCTGAAGCTGCTATTGTTTTATTAGAAACTACATCAACTCGAAGGGCAAGTGAGTCTACAGTTCTTTATGAATTTTTAACTAACTTTGCTAGACAAATGATGCAAAAAGTTGTTTCATTACATTTTGATCCACAAGAACGTCAAGGAGAAGAATTAGAAGAATTTCTTAAATTTAGAAAGACATCATCTTTTTATTTATTTAGAAAATGTATTGATGTTCTTGGAAATTCTGCTTCTATTGATATTCTCTCTGGACTTTGGAATTCAGTTAATAATAAAGAAACTGTTATAGCTGCTCTTATTGCTGGTTATGAAGACTTTTCTATGAGTAATTCTCAAGAGCTCTTTCAAATTATTTCATCTTCGATTCAATACATTTCTCAACAACAAAATGTACCATTTGTATTTACAAGAAGTTTAATTATTGTTCTTGGTAAATATGGTAGATTTTTCCATGACAGCTGCCCTCAAGTAGTTCCTCAATGCATTAACTTTTTATCAAAATTTGTTGGTAATGATTTGTATGGAAGTAAAACTGCTAAATCAATGATGTTATTATCCCAAGAATGTAGTAGTCAAATGGTTCAAAATTTATCACTTTTAAAAGATATTTATACTAATGTTATTCGTTTAGTTATGTCAGGAAAATTAAAAGGAAATGAAAAGCAATTTGAAGATTATATCCACGCATATTGTAATGTTATTGGATCAGCACCTACACATGAATATCTTCAAGAATTATTTAATGAACCTAATATTGTTATTAAGAAAAGTGCATTAGGAAAAGTTATTAATAATGAGACAATGACAGCTTTTTGGTTAATGAAAACTATTTTCATTGGACTAAAACGTTCTAAATTCAAACAAGAAATTGCAGCTGTAATCATTGATTATATGGTACCACAAATGTTATTCTCATTACTTGAAATTGCATCAATAAATAAAAATGAACAAGCATTAGAAAGTGCCTGTATTGTTATTGGAAAAATGTTTATGGTTATTGAGGTTCATTGTCAACCATTTTTCAGTCAATGTATTGATTCTATTAAAGCATGTTTTAATATAACTCATGCAAGTTCACTTATTAATTGTTTATCAATGATAGCAGATGCTTTATACACTCATTCTATCTTCCAAGAAACATTAAGAAAGAATTGTGTTCCATTACTTACTGAAGCAATGAAACTCTGTACATTAACCACAAATGATTTAATTATTGACTGTGCTGATTGTATTTTTTATTTCAATAGAATTAAATTACCAACAGAATTTCTTCCATATGCATTTAATTGGTTATTACAATTTACATCAGTTCCAGACCAAGATGCTTATCATGCAATTTGTGAGAATCTTGTTGATTTTATTAATGATGGAAATTCAATTGATTTAGTAAAACAACCAACAACCTTATTAACAATGATTGAAAGTGTTGTTCATCTTTTTTCTAAAGATCGACAAGATGACTGTATTACTGTACTCAGAGAAATTTATATTACAGACATTCCATCTTTCTGTAATAACATGCAATTAATTTTACAACAAAAGTATACTACTATACCCAATGGATTTAAACAAACAATAATAACAACTTCAAAATTATCTAAAAATGATTTCATTAAAATAATGAAAGAATTATTTATGCTTTTAAAAGAAACTTCATAAAATAATTCTTTCTTTTTATTTTCTTTTGTTTTTTTTTTGTTTTAATTTTAATTAAATAAAATATTAAATTAAAAATTATTTACTTTAAATGGTTTTTGTTTATAATTCAATAATAACAAACCCATGTTCTTTATCTTCACTATATTTCATTCCCATTTCATTTAATGTTTTAACTACTTCTTCTTTAATTTTAGAAAATCCTACTGTATTATGATGTCCCATACCACATTGACATCGTAATATTTTCTTTCCTTCTTTTTTACGTTTTTCAATTTCTTCTTTCATCATGATAATAGCTCCTTCAATTTGAAGTCCATGCAAATCAATAGTATCTTCTTCTATTTCATATATTTGAACTTCATCAAAAGCTGCTTTATGTGTTGTATATTTCATTGCTTCAAATTCATCTTTTTGTTTTTGGAATTCATCATGTTTTGCTTGAACATCACTTGCTCCTTCTTCTTTAGCAGCTAACCATGCTTTCTTAGCTTCTTCTACTTGATCATGTTTTTTATCAAGTTTTCCATAATGTTTAGCATATATCTCATCAAGAAGAATACTTTTATCTCCAGAAACAACTTCTTTTTTTCCATTAGGTCTATCTTCAATAACAGGAGCATCTCCTTTTGGTTTTGGAACATGAGTTCCTTCAATTAATTTCTTTTCAGTTGGTGGTTCAGTTGGTTTGATGTCTTGTTTATTATTAGGTACTGTTTCAGTAGTTGTTGTAGTTTTATTTTCAACTCCTTGATACGTTTGGTTTTCATTTTGTTGTTGAACAGGTTTTTGGTTCGTAGTTTCTTTATTTAAAGGAGTATTTTCATTCACTCTTCCATTAGTTTTACTCTTCTTTGATAAGCAACAACCCATTTAATCTTTCTTTTATCAAATTTAAGTTTTTGTTTTCTTTTAAAGTTCTTTTTAATCCTATTTTTATCATATTTTGAAACTTCTTTCTCTAAATTTTGTACAAATGTCCTTTAAAATTTTTCTTATGATTTTTCTTTTCACTTTTTTAATAAAAATTTATTATAAAAACTAAATTATATTCTAAGTTCAATTATTTTTTATGATTTTTCTTCTGTTGAAATTTCTTTGTTCTATTTTTATTTTTTTCATAAAATGAAGAAAAAAATTATCAATGCAATTAATCCTGTTGTAGCAAATTTATTTAATGTTACCATTCAAAAAAAAAATATATTGAAGTTCAATTTTTTTTTCAAACCTTTCAAGTAAACCATTATTAATTAAAATTTCAATAACTTTTCTGATTATTCTTTTATTTATTTTATTACACATGTATTTTGAGATGATGAAAATAAAATTGAAGTAAATTCATTAATTGACTTATTTTTTTTCTCTTTTCTTTATTTTCATAACTAAACAAACCCATTTATTTATTTTAAATTGTTCACTATTAATTTTGATTTCTGGCTTTTGTGTTTGGTTATTGAGTTGAAGAAAATTAATATAATTTTATTTGTTGAAATGAAAGAATGATCTAAAAAATATATTTTATATTTTTCTTTAATTATTTTATTTTCAATAAGTAAATTAATCATTTTTTTATAACTATTTCATTATTATGACTAATTTGAAGTATTTCTTCTTCATTAATATATGATATATTAGTTAATAACATAAGAATTATAACACTAAAAATGATATTTTAAAAAACATTAAAATGAAGTTTTTTATTATTTTTTTTTGAAGAAATTTTTATATAAATTGAATTTCATTTATTTAAAATACTATTCAAAAATAAATAAAAGAATTATTTGAATTAAAACCATTTAATTTGGTTTACTATATAGAAATTACAGAAATGTTTTATTTAAAAGGATTCTTAATAAATTCTTTTAATGTTTTTAGCAAAGATAGAAGAAATTTTATATTCTTTAATTAATTCAATAATTATTTTAGAAATTGAAGACTTAACAACATTTTTAAATAAATTTTTAAATTAAATTTTAGTTTCTTATTGTAATTATACAATATTCTCTAATTATCAGATCATCATTCAAAACATCATTTATCTCATATGAAATCTTCTTTTTTTTGTTGACTGTTTAATTAGTGTTAGTTTAACAACAAACCAATTGAATTAGTTAGTGTTTAGGTTATAAGAGAAATAAAGTTTATACAAAAAATAATAAATAGACTTTAATTTTATACTTTTCATTTTAAATTAATATGTTAAATATTTAAAAATATGTAACTATAATATATTAATTATAATAGTTCATTAATGTTATTATTTATTCAATTTATTTATTATTGAAGTATGAAAAAATATTTTCTTTAATAGACACATAAATTATTTTAAAACTAAAGAATTAATTCATTTATTGAATGTATTAATTTTGTAAAACTTTACCCTTAATGTAGAATTTTATTTTTGTTTCTTTTTGAATATAATACTATTCAAAATAGAATATTTTTTTCTCTATTGTTATTCTTCTCCATCATTTTCTGTTGTCATTTTCTTATAAATAAATTTTTTTATTTAATGGTTATTATATTTGTAACAAAAGAAAGAAATATATAATTAAATATTTACTTTACTTAATTTATTATTCATTAGCTATTATTCACCATACTATAAATAAACTATTTGATTGGTTATGTACTATTTGTTTTCTTTTATTCATACTTTCTCATATTAGGATAATTCAATATAATGACAAAGACTGTTTATTTAAAGTTAAAACTCATTTATATGTTAATGTTAGTTAGACGATTATTTTGTTTTGAATAAGAACAGTGAGATAATAATTTTTTATCATTAAAGCTTTTGATATAAATTGTATATAACCAATAAAAATAAGACTTTTTATAAGAGGGACTTCTTGGGGACTGTAATTCATCAATAGAAAGTAAGTTAATTTTTTCATTATAATATTAAAAGATTGAATAAAGAAAAGTATTTGTTTTAACGGTGAAATTTCTTATCTTTTTCTATTGAAAAACCTCTTCACATAGCAAGATGAATGATAAGAAAAAGAAAGAATAAAAAAAAAAGGTAGAATATTTTAGAAATAGAATAGACGAAAAAAGAAAAACCTATTAATCCAATCGTACCTTCCATCAAATGAAGAAGCTTCATTTGATTTTTGTAACTAGTGAGTTCAAAGTTTAGTAAAACATCTCTATGTCAACACAACGACCAGATAATACGATTATTACTTGTAGACCTGTTCCTTTATCTACTCGTCCTAATTTATTTATGCAGAATTCTTATGGATATTCACCTATTAGTGCTTTTTCTATGCCTGCTCCAAAACAAGTTTACTCTCCTTTATTGGTTGTTACTCCAATGGACACTCCAATGGTAGAAGAAGATTCAGAAGAAAATGCACGTTATGATAATCCTGTTTTCCTTGACCAAGACGTTTTTGTTTTCGATGAACAAATGCAACAACAAAACCAACAAAAAATTCAAAAATCAACTACTGATAATACTATCTCTTCAACAAATCAACTTAAACAAACAAGTGCAACACTATCTTGTCTTGGAAATAATGAACAACAACAATTGTCACCAATACGACATTCAAAATTATCATCTGATCAAATAACTTGTGAACAACCAATTACTTTAAATGATTTTGGTGTTACTTGTTCATTGAGAGATGAAATTCATGAAGATTCTGAAGGATTAGAAGAAGAAGACTCTTCTCAAGATTTTGAAGAAAGTGATGATATTGATGATGAAGAAAGTCAAGTAATTCAAGAGGTATTAGAACGTGTAGAACAACTAAAGAAAATAGGAGACGAAAGAAATAAACTTCTTCATCATATGATTGAAAATCAAAAGTAAAAAGAAGATTATAGAAGATGGTCTCTGAAGACCTCTATTTTTCTGTTTTTGTTTGTTGAATTGAAGTTTATAGTCATATTTGTTTTTGATTATTATTTTAATGAAGAAAATAAAAACTAAAAAAGGTTCTTTTTAAATTCTTTAGAATTTAAAATGTTAAATTGCTTTTATAAAGCCATAAATAGTAAGGCAATAAATAAAACAATGAAACATGTTTTAGTTCCATCAGTTTCATCCATGTCAGTTGAGAATGAATAAATTCCTTCTGTTCCTTTTTCTTCAGTAAATTTAATATCATTAAAGTAAATTGTTGAGTCAGTTTTATCTGTTTTGAAAATTCTAACAAGGCTGTCTTTAGTTGAATTAGCTGTTAATGAAGAAATATCAACATAAACACGGTTAAGACGATTAACAGCCATTCCTGAAGTTACTTGAATTGGTTTCATTGAGTCATCATTTCCAATAGAAACAGCAAGACCAAGGTTAACTCCTTCTTGTTCCCAAGAAACAACAAATGAAAGATATTTGTAAGGAGATAAATCAGTCACTGAATTAGTTTTGAAATTAATATAATTATTTTTTGATAATATAATTGAAATAACAATTTGGTCATGATATTCTGCAGTAGTAGAGATATATCCAGTAGATTCTTTAGCTTGATATCCATTCGAAAAAACACCATCTTTATAAATAATTCTTTCTTTATTAGCAGTACAGCCAATAATAATAAGAGCAATAATAGTTTCACTGATCATATGAATGAATTTACTTCTTAATTAACAGGTTTAAATATTAATTCATAATAAAGAGTAAAAGAAAAGAGATAAGTTTGACTAAGTAGAATCACCTTCATTTCATTTTATCAAACTAATCAAGTATTAAATCTTTTACTTAAAATCATTAAAAAAAACTTATCAAAAATCAAAATTCTTAAAATTCAACAAAGTCTAATTCTCTCTACTTTTGGTTCTTAAATTTGACTTTTATTGGTTGTCCATCAAAAACTTTATTATTCATAGCTTGCATTGCTTTGTATGCATCACTAGAATCCATATAAGTAACAAAACCAACTCCTTTACATAATTTTGTTGTTGGTTCATATAAACAATTGCATTGTTCAATTGCACCAAATTTTGCAAAATTCTTATACAAGAAAAGTTCATTAGTATTTTGAGGTAAATGAGCAATATATAATGTTGCTTTTTGTTTTTCTTGTGGACGACAAACAGCATCTGGCCAATATCCCATTGGACCAATATAACCTTGTTGATATTGTGGCATTTGAATTCCAGGGTTATACATTGGTTTTTGTGTATTTGCTGATTGGTTTGGTTGTTGAGCACCAGCCATTGGTTGTAAAAAAAATTGTTGGTACATCATCATTGGATCATTAAACATTTGTGAAGGAGAATATTTAGGAAGGATTGTTGTAGGTTCTACAGTTTTTCTTAATTCTTTCTTTTTATGAGTTTGTTGGTTTGTAGCTACTTTCACTGTTAATTTAGTTTTAGTAAGTTCTTGAACCTCTTTATCATTTAAGGCTTCAATTGCTTTATTACCATCTTCAGTTTTTTGATATTTAATAAAAGCAAATCCACGACATTCATTTGTTTGAGGTTTATAAACAATATCAACACCAATGATTGGTCCAAATGGATCAAAGTATTTATGTATTAATTCTTCAGTTATATCAAAATGAAGATTAGCCACATAAATAATTAATCCAATTTGAGGTTCTTCATGTTCAGTAAATTCATCAGTATGTTCAGAAATTTCTTGTTTAATTAATGGGTTATGTAATAATGGATTTATTAATGGTTGTTGACATGGTTGTTGACATGGTTGGTTAAATATTTCAGCTTTTTCATTAACATTCTTTTCTTTTAAAATTCCTTCTTCTTTTTTTTCTTCTTCTTTAATTTCATTAATACGCTTTTCTTTTTTAGGTTCTTCTTCATGTTTATCAATTCGAGTATCAACTAATGACTGAGGTGGTTCTAATGGAATTTGTTTAGACATTTTTGTTTCATCTGATTCAAGAAAATTATTTAATTCTAAAAATTGTTGCTCTTCACTTGAGTCACACATAAATTAAAAAGAAGTTCTTCATTCAAAATCATTAGAAATTAATATACAAAAAAAACAAAACTAAACTAAAATTAGAAAGAAATTATTTGAAACTATTCTCAAAGTTTCAAAATATAAAATTTTTAAAAAATTAAATAAACAAACTTATTTGATACAAAAAAACTTTCTTCTCTTTCTTTTTTCTTTATTAGAAATACACTTTATTGTTAATTTTAATTTTAATACTCTTACTGCAAATTTAATATTTTTATTCATTTATTTCAATATTTAAAAATAAGAAAAAAATTAAATGAAAGAATAAATATAAATTGAAACTATAAAAAGTAAACAAAAAAAAGCAATGAACTGATAAGACAACTGTTTTGTTTTTATTCTAATAATCTTCTTCTTTTAATTTTTCAGTTTTTTTTTAATTTTAATTTTTTATAATTTTAAATAATAAATTATTATAATAAAATATTAATAAAATATTAATAAAAATAATAAAATAATAAAAAAAAAAAAGACAAAAATCAAAGAAGATGGAAGAAATAATAAAAATGAACTAATAAAGAACTGAAAAAATTTATAATTTTAATGTTGCATTTATTTATATTAATTGTAATGAGTATAGGAAGTTTTGCAGAAGAAGAACAAGGAGTGACAGGATTTTTTGTCTCACCAATTTATAAGATAGAAGAGAAAGTAGGAATACTTGAAAGTCGACTTTCTGAAATAGAAGATGTAGAGAGACATGTATTAGGCAAATTAGATCAAAGTTCATTAGATTTTAAGAAAGCAATAAGAGCAGCAGATAAAGCTAAAATATCACAAGTTCAAACATGGTTAAAAAATAAAGAATCTATGTTAATAGAAGAGAAAAAAAGAGTTCTTACTGCAATGAAAAGATTATTAGCAGTACTTCCTGCAGAAGAACGATTAGCCATTTTAAGAAGATTAAAAATTGAATATCGATTTAATTCTGTTAAAGAAATGATTCAAGACGCTACTTCTACTAGTGGATTTACTGAACAACAACTTCAAGAATTCCATAAACAACAAATTAAAAGAGCAGAAATTGATAAAAAAACTGCTATTGCTAGACAAAAACTCGCTATGGCTGAAATAGAAAAAATTGAAGCTCAAAAGAAAGCTAAAGAAGCTGAAAAACTTGCTAAAGAAAAAGCTAAACAAAAGAAAACACTTAAATCAGTTAAAATTGAATTAAAAAAAGCTAAAAAAGCTGAAAAGAAAACAAATGAAGAATTAAATAAAGCAGTTAAAGTTACACAAGAAAAAGCTAAAGCAGCTACTAAAAAAACAGAAACACTTAAACAACAAATTAAACAACTTGAAAAAAAACCACTTGACAATAAAGGAAAAGTTAAATTAGCTAAAGTGACTAAACAATTAAAAGAAGCTGAAAAAACTCAAAAAAAAGAAGCTAAAAAAGTTGAACGTTTAGTTAAGACAAAATATGAAAATAAAGTCGCTAATAAAAAAGCTTCAATTAATAAACTTGAAAAACAAATTAAAAAAACTACTGGCAATACTAAAAAACAATTACAACAAAAATTAATTAATGCACAAAGTGATTTAAAAACTACTCAAATGAAAATGAATAAAAAAATTAAAGCAGTAAAAGAGAAAAATAATATTAAGGCTTAAATTGAATTAATTAATTTCTTTTTTTTTGTTATTAATTAATTTATTTGTTATTCTTTTATTAATAAAAATTTAGATATTTTTTATTATTATATTATTATTTAATAATATTAAAAAGAATCAATGAAATAATACTAACTTATTTTATTTATTATTTGTAAGAAAATATAATTGTGTAAAAATACTAATAGAAAATGAAATAAATTTTAATTAAAATGAAGGAAATTTATAATTGCTAAATAATAATAATTTATTATTATTAAATATTTCTTTAATATTTCATTTTTATTAAAAAATTTAAATAACAAAAAAAAAATATGTTTTTCTTTTATTTAAATTCTAACAACAATTTCTTGATGTAGGTTCATTTATTCGAAGTGGTGCTTCTGTACATTTAGGGGCTAAAGGTGCAAGGTTTGATGCTATATCTTCAAAAAGATCTGTAATCCCAATATCTTTTAATGCTGATGTTTCAATAAATCGTGCAGACCATTTATAAGATTTTTGCATTCCTTCTTCTTTTGTAACTCCACGTTGACTATCAACTTTATTTCCAACAATATATACTAATGTTGATTCCCTATCTGGTACTTCATCAAACCAGTGATCAATATTATTAAATGTTTGTTTATCTAATAAATTAATATTATATTTCATTATTATATACTAATTTAAACAAACCACTTATATCATATACAATAACTACAACAGATGCTCCTCTAATATAATTTGGAATTAATGAACGATAACGTTCTTGACCTGCTGTATCCCATATTTGTAATTCAATTTTTTTATTATCAACATCCATTATTTGAGTAACAAAATCTGTTCCAATAGTTGCCTTTGTCTGTAAACTCTTTTCTCTTTTTTAGTAAAATATTACTTTCAACAAACATCATAACTCATATCAAAATTCTTCGAAGTAAACCTACCAATAATACATGTCTTTCCAACTGAACAATCTCCAATAAAAACAACTTTATGTCGACAGATATCTTCCATTTGCAACTATTTGAGCTTTTTGAATTTTTAAGTTTTTTTATTTTGTGTTTTTCTTTTTCATTCAATTTCGTTTTTGGCTTGTTTTTCTCTCATTCTCAAACAAAAGAAACTTTATGTTAGTATTACTTATTCTTATTTTATGAAAATAAAAACATAAAAATTGTTATTCATTATTTCCTATTGAATTGAAAGATTTAAAGAACATTATTCATTTTAAAATAGTGCATGTTGAATACACCAATCCGCAATGTCTTCAACTTGAGGAATCTCATTTTGTGCAGTTTTAATTGAAAAATATTTAACACTAGATATACAAGATTGAGTTGTGATAAATGACTTTACTGAAAGTTCTACTGTTTGTTGAAGTTGATCACTTTTAGTTAAAATAAAACATACTGGAAGGTCTTTATCATCTGAACGTTTAAGTTCTGTAAAAGCATCATACGCTTCATTTAAACGTTGTTCATTTGAAGAGTCAATACAATAAATAATACAGTTACTTTCATTGAGATATCGTTTCCAAACATTTCTGAATGAGTCTGTACCACCTATGTCCCATAAAGACAATTCAAATCCACCGTATTGAACAACTTTTGTATTTACTCCAATTGTTGTCATTTCATAAACCTCTTGTAATGGAGTATGACCAATGATAGAACCAAAATATTCTTCGAAATATGTTTTACCAGCACCATCAATACCTACAATCATTATCTTAAGTGATGGATTTGGTTTTTTTTTACATAATGAAACGACTTCTTTTGCTAAAGAAAACATTGATTTTTCTTGTTTCTTTCTCTGTTTTTATTTTTTTCATATTTTTTATCTTTTGTTTTTTAAAAATACAAAAAATTTGTTTTTAATCAATAAACAACCCTTTTCCTTTTCAATTCTTTCTTCTTGTTCAGTACAAAAACTATGAAAGCATTACATCATAATAGATGCATATTAGAAATGAATTATTTAATGAATGTTGCTTTATTTATAACTGATTATAAACAAATTATTTTATTTATGCAAGTGTCAAAGAAATGTAAAAATTCAGTACATACAATGAAAGTTAATAGTTTTTACTCAAAGAATCATATAAATGCTATAATTAATATTTATCATCACCTTCAAACGTTAGATGGAAGAAATAAATTAAAGAAAATTGAGTTGAGGAATTTTCAACAAATTCAGTTAATTAAAAATCCAAATGAATGTATTCTTAACTACCAAGAAACGTGGAATAAAATAGAGTCAATTATTGTAAGAAAAAAAGCAAATGTATTATTTAAAAATATAACATCTTTTATTCAATTAAGAAGAATTGAACTTTGGATTGATTCATTAACATATTCTATAGAAACAATAAAAAGAATGAGAACAATAAGAACTTTTATTATTCATTGTACTGATTCAAAGAAAATGATAAAACTTCTTCCTTATATTAAAACATTTGAATTTGACCGGATTAATGTAATTGTTATTATTCATTCATTTTCAAAAATGTTATTAGATGAATTAAAAGAGATTAAACAAATTAAAGTTGTTTCTTATCTAATTGATCCATTAACAATTGATTGTGTACTTAAACCATTAAATTCAATTATAGTATCTCCAGACTGTTTTAACAACAAAGAAATTACTTATAAAGTATTAAAACAAATTAATCAAAATTACAATCCATCTCTTATAGTTTCTTCAAAATATTCTCCTACAGTTAAATCTTCAAATGTTAAATGTATTGATCTTTCACAGTTAACATCCATTTTTGAATTAAATGTAAGTATTTTATTTAATGAATATAATCTTTTTATTCCTACTCAATTACTTCGATTAACAATAAATTCAATTAATCCAAATATAATTTTTTCCATAAACAGTCTTACAGAATTACATTTACAAAATGTTAAGAGAACAAATGAATTAAATTGTGAAAAACTTATACAATTAGAACTTATTTCATGTCAAAATATTAAGTTTAATAAAGTCCCTTTATCATTACAATGTATAAATTTAAATTCTTGTTCATCTTGTGTTATTCCAATTTCTTCTTCTTTAAAATCTTTTAGAAGAGAATTTTGTGAAGAAAATCAGTTTTTAATAACAGAAGTTAATAAGGTGTTTGGTTCTATGTTTAAAGATGATAATTCTGTAATTAGTTATGAGAAAGATAATTTATTATATATTAAAAGTTGTTATGAAATTAATTGTTCTGAGGCACAAGTAAAAGAAGTCATTATCCTTGGTTCAATTAATAAATTTATAAATACTAGAAAATGTTCAATTAGGTTCAGTGGTTGTGGAAGTTATATTAATGAAATGAAATTATCCACATCAACAAAAGTTATTTGTGAATCAGGAGCAACAATTCAGCATCTAATCGCTGACTCTATTGATCATTTAATTATAAATGGTGAGATAAAGAAGATATCATGTTCTTCAATAAGAATGATTGAAATAACAGAATTAAAACAATCAATCCCATTAGAGTGTAAATATTTATGGTTAAAGAATATTAATAAAACAAAAATTAATTTGTCAAAATATAATATAAAACATTTAATACTATGTAATGTATTTTCCCAATCCCTTTATCTTCCAAACACACTTATGAAAATTGTGTCAAGAAATTCAAAAATTCAAAAGTTTATAAATTTAGAAAATTGTCGTCTTTCAATAAATAGAGTTATTAATATGCTTCTTCATATGAATTGTCAATTAACTTCTTTTCCTACTAAAATATCTAAGCTAAAATTAAAAAATATAGAAACAGAATTTATTGATTTATCAACGGTACATTGCATTGATATTAAAATTATTTGTTCTACTTGTTTAAGAGAAATACTAGTTTCTGATGTTACACTAAATGTTTATTTTCATATGTGCAATGCCAATATTGGTGTTCAAACACTTCAACCTCATCAATTAAATATTCACTATTTTAATTGAAACTCTTTAAGATTTGGTAAAAATAATATAATGCTTGGTATTAAGAAGGTTGAGAATGACAATAAAATTATTTTACTAGAGGGGCTATGTTTGTTTAATCAAGAAATGTTGTAATAACCACCTCAATTTATAATATGGATGTAAGATTTGAATTAATAAGAATAAAAATAAATAAAATGGTTTTTGTTTATCTTTGTTTTGTACAAAAGAAATAAACAATTTTTGGAGTAGTTTTCATTTATTTTCTTCATATTCCTTCTTATCAAGTCACTGACTAATTCTTTATTTTTTAATTTCATTTTATTATTAATGTTTAATTCTCTTATTTGTGTTAGATTTATTGTATCTTTTATTATTCATATTTTTATTATTCATTTTCTCATTTATTAACTTTTTCAGTGTATTTCTTATACTATTTATATTTTATACTTCATTTTTAGTAGTATTTCATCTTCCTCTTGTATATCATTGAATATTTATAACTAGGTGTGTGTGTGTTTTACAAAAACAATGATATTATTAATGTTATTGATAATATTTTTGTATTGCTTTCAATGAAAAGAAATTAATAAAACTTAATGAAAAATTGAAATGAAAAAATAATGATATTACACTGTATTTTACTGTCATAACCATCACAATGGAAATATTCTTCATTAAATACAGATATGGTATAAAGAAGATGTATTGATGTTTTAATAAATGAACAATGAATAAAATACAAACACTCAGAATTTATTATAAATAAAGCATCGAAGAAAGAGCAAAATACATAATACTAAAATCATCATCTTTTACTATTTGTAATAAAAACTTAGTTAATTAATGATAAATTAACAAGATTATAATTATCAGAAGAATAAGAAGAAAACTCAGTAATTGAATAAGAAAAGAAAATAATCAACAAGGATATACTCTACAAAGGGATTGTGTAATAAAGTTATATAAAACATAACTAGCAAAGTCTAACAAAAAAAACAAAGAGAAATATAGTCAATTAAAAGAATAAAAATGTGAGTGTAATAGAAAGAATAAGAAATACAGAAGAAGAAGAATCAAGATTTGTATAACTAGTTGAGTCAACATCGGTTTTATTGTCTGGTTTGCTTTCAGAAGTATTTGTTGTTTTATTATCTTTATGTTCTTCATTATTATCTACTTTTGTATTATTTTGTTCATTTTGTTGTTGATTATTTTGCTCATTGTTATCTGTTTGTCCTTCAGTTTCTTTGTTATCCTTTGCTTGGTTTCCAGCTACCCCATCATTTCCTTTTTCTCCATCTCCTCCTTTACTATCACTTTTATTATCATCCACACTTCCTTTATTCTCATTTTCTTTTTGTCCTTCACCAGCTACTCCACTGTCACTTTCTTTTTTTCCTTCACCAGTTGCTCCTTCATTTCCTGCTTGCTCTTTTTGTTCTTTACCTGCCTCTTGCCCAGAATCTCCTTTTTCACCACCACTTGGTTGTCCTTCTTTTCCACTTTTTCCTGATGAGTCAGAACCACCCACCTCTCCTTTTCCGTTAATGTTTTGGCTGTTTTGCTCTTGTGTTTGAGAACTACTTGTTCCACTACTTCCTTTGTCAGTCTTTCCACCAGTCTCTCCATTTTCTTTTTGTCCTTGTCCTTCTTGTCCCACAGTCTGTGATCCACCACTTTCTTGATTCTTCACGTCAGTTTTTTCAGACACTTTACTTCCTTCACTTGTAGTTTCACTACCTCCTTGTCCTGACGTTCCTGACTCTACTGTATGTTCTGATTCACTCCCTTTTCCTCCCTTGCCTGTTGTTGCACTTCCTGATGCTGAAGGTGCACCAGTTTCAGCACTGTTTTCTCCACTTGACACTTTCTGGTTTGATGAACTACCTCCACCACTTACTTCTGTTCCTTTGATTGCTTTATTTTCTCCTTCACTTGTTTGACCATTTCCACTCCCTTCTTGTTTTTTAGATTCTCCTGTTTCACTATTTTTGGTAGTTGCTTCATTCTGTGCTCCACCTTCAGTATTTCCTTTACTCTTTTCTTCTTCATGAGTATTTGTTGCTGTAACTGAAGGTTTTTCTTGGGGTGTGGGTTTTGCTTCTTCAACTTTTAATAGTATATTATCACTGGCGTACTGTCTTTTAGTGTCACCAGTAGAAAAATAATTTTCAGCTGCTTCAATATCTTCAGTAGTAATAGTACCATGTTTTAGATTCTTACTTGTTCTAAAAACATTACTTTTACTAACTCTAATATCTTCTTCTACTTCTTGACTAAAGTCATTATTTTTAGACTTATTTATATTATTAGTAATTGTGTGTGTCGTAACTCTTAGATTTTGACACTCTTTATCATCTTTAACTCTTTGTTCTTTAAAGAGTTTAGTCTCTATTGCTTCACTAATCAGAATAAGCAATATAAATACAATCATTGTTTCTGTTTCTTTTCAGTTCTGCTCTTTAAATATCTTCTTTTTATCCTTCTTTATTTTCATATCATCTTTTTGAATTATTATCAATTACATTTTCTTTTATAATGACTCAATCACTTCATTATTCATTTTATTTCATCATTTATCATATTACTTTATTTTGTATTTCATCATTAAATCGAATGAAATGAATATTAAATTAAAACTCGATTCATTTTTTTTTAATTCGTTAAACAAAATTAATTAAAATACTAACTACAATAACATCAAGTCACAGTCAATAATAAACTGAATCATAGTATGAAATGAATGTCAATGTTCAAGTCATAGTTCAAGTCATTCTCATTTTTTTTTTCAAAATAAATCAAGACTATCAAAAACAATATCAGAACATAATTGATTGGCATCCATACTTATTATTTTTAATAACCAAAATATCGAAAATAACTTCTTTCATTTATTTCAATACTTATAATCAACTCAATTCAAACTTTATTTTTATCAATTTATTGACCCCAATAATTTATCTATTGTTATTGTTCTTTCCTATCCCTCTTTTCTGTTTCTTACTTTAATAAAAATTGTAATTAATAACACATACAACAAACGTACAAGATGGTTTGAATAAGGAATAGGAAATTTAAATCAATTGAAAAATAAAAAAATAATTTGTTTTTGAACATGTTTATCTTTACTATCAAAACCATAAACAAATAGATAATAATTAAAGTAATAGTACAATAAGTTCTTCATTAATTATTTCATTTATTTTTAACACACAAAATATTTTAACAAGACTATAAATAATAGATATATCACATTCAGAATAAAAATACAATAATAGAGCATAAAATTAATTTTGTATCGAAATTATTTGAAGAAATTGAATATATAGAATGATGTAGAAAATATATAAAAATATATTAAGAAGACAGTGAACTATATTGAGAAGATATTATTGTTTAATAAAAATGCTATGATTGAATGAAGAATAACTATAAAAGAATGGTATTAAATAATTGGTAATAAATGAATATTCAAATTTATCTGTGAAGAAAGAACCAGCGTAAAGTTTCATGATAAAAATGGTATTGTATAATCATTATTTGTAATAGATACTATACATTGAAATTCAATTAGAATGACTCATTCTTTTTTATTGACTTGGCTTTTCTTTTTATTATATTTTATTTATTTGTTGAAATGAAGAATAAATCATCAATATATTTAACATAGTTTTGTTAGATTTAATATTCATTTTGTTTATTTTTATAGCATTAATATTATTGAGTTGATTATTAATTTCAATTAATTAATGAACTGATATTTTTCATTCATATTTATCTTTTTCTTTACGAAAATGTGTTGAATGATATTTCAAAAGAAGATACTATAACATTAAAATGTTAATATTAATCAGTTTAATGTGTAACTTATTGTATAATAAAGTATTGTACCATTTGAATCATCCAGATAAATCAAAATATAAATAATTGAAATATTCATAAAAATGAAATAGAATAATTCATATTCTTTTTCATTTGTTATTTGTAATAATCATTTAAATATATAAAAAATGAACGTAAATGATAGAATGATTCAATATTTCAATAAATGAAGAATGATAAATTCAATAAATAATAGAAAAGAATGAACAATATAATAACAAGAATGAAAATGAAATATACGTATTGATTTACTTTTTATTAAATAAATAAAGATAAAATATACCCTAATGAATTTTGTGATGAAAACATTTAAACACAATGAATAGAATTATAATTGAACTGTTATTCAATAAACTGTAGTTTCTTTTGATTATTGTTTATTATCTAAGTGTATAAAAAACTACTATGACACTGTAAAGTGATAATTTTATGAATAAAAATAAATTCAATATGAAAATGAATTAAAACAAATCTGTGACATTGTATTTTATTCAGTATTATAGATTATAATCAGTTTATTATCATCTTCAATACTTTTAATGTATTTACATATTCTTATTTTATTATTAGCGTTTTCTGTCATCTATTATTTAATTCATCATTTTTATCTTTTTTACTAAACTCACTTTTATACTATTTCTTTATTCTTTGCTTTTTTACTAAATTCTTTTCTTGTTTTAATTTCATTCTTTTTAAATTATAATATTTTCTATTTCATTGATCTGTTCATTTATTAGATGTTATTTTAAATGTTATTAATTAGCAGAATGTCTAAACTTGTTTAGTTTTAGTTTTATACTTTTTCTTTTTCATAACTTATTCTTAAATCCAATTCTGACTAGTCTATCATATTCATTGTTTTGTTTCTCAATTTATTTATATTTATTACGTTTTATTCATTTATTATTTCGTTTTATTTCTATATCTTTTTTATTATTAATTATATAATTTATTGTCTATTTCTTTTTCTATTATTTGTTTTCTCTGATAAGACTTACGATATTTATCATTTGTTATTTATTTCAATTTCTTTATACTTCCTATCTCTTTTATTATTTATTTCTTCATCTCATTGCCTATTTTATATGTATCAGAAGTTTATCTATATTTATCGTCTTTAATTTAGTATTATTATCTATGACATTTATTATTGTTCATTCTTTACTTACTCTTAATGAAATATGCATCATTCTTTAAATATTATTTTTAAATATATTTTGTTTGTCAGTCACTTCATTTTAAATTTATTTTCAGACATACATTAATTTATTAAATGTCAGTATCATCACATAATAACATCGTCTCTTTAAAATTATAATATATCCAACTATTTTTATATTAATGTTATTTTTATAACAAAACCCTAAATTAGGTTTTCTTGATTTTCATTTTTTAAGTGAATAACACTTTTAAAAAATGTGTTATTAAAGAATATACTCAAACAAATAAAACTTATCTTTTGAAAGAGACAAACTTAAAGAAGATGTACAAGTTTTAATGAATAGTTTATTTAAACACAAGACAGAATGATAGACAATTGTTATAGAATCAGTTGAAACAAAATATCTGGGAAAGTTATTGAAAAAAGAAAACTAGTAAATTCATTTGAAATGAGTGTAAGTGACAATGACCTAAAAGCTATGGAAAAAGGGTATTGTTGTAAAGTCACTCGATTTCCACAAAGTGGTGATTCTCTATATATTCGACCAAACAAAATCTACCAAGTTGGGAATATTCCAGATGCTGCAATTCAAGTTGGAGACTCTCCAATTCTGATATGTACGTTAGTATGTGATAAAGAAGCGAATGTTGTGATTGAAGTTAATCCAAAAACATCTGATATAGTCAAAGTAAATGACATTATTATGAAGAAAAAACAATTATTAAACCATTTAGATATTATCACAATTGGTTCTGGTCAATTGCAATTTCTTTCGTTTTTTAATAATGGGAGAGTGCGACTGAATTGTAAGAACCTCCATTGTCTTCTTCTTCATAACTATCCAATATTTGAAAAAGAATTAAAATCAATTGAAGGAAAAACAACATCACTTAAAGAATATAGAAAAGGACTTCGTAATATATTTATTGAATTAGACAAAAAGGATGAAGACAAAATTCAAAAATGTCGTGAAATGTTTAAAGAAGTTTTGAATATTGTAATGGATGACAATCCCCCTGCCAAATTACAGATTGAATGTCTTAAAGCTGGTATTGATATAAGGAATAAGTATGTTACAATTTCAAATGATGATAATAATGGTACTCAACAATTAAAAACTCCAGTAATAAAACCTTCAAGTCAAAGACAAATAAAAATGAATCATAATAAAGAAAAATCAACACTTGTTGATACTACTGCATCAATTCTCCTTAATTTTGATGAAAATGAAGATGATGATTTTGAAGAATTTAGAAAACATCAACTTCAAAGTTTTGATGACAAACTACTGAAAAAAAAGGAATTAGATTAATTATGTTATTTATTTTATTTGTTTGTAGACAGATAAAAAGAAATAGACAAGACTTCTCTTTATTAGGATCTACACGTTTGTCTTGCACAGGGTGTTTTTATCTAATTTCAATAACTAAATAAAATACTAACCCTTTGCGTAAATATTGATTAATTTATTAGAAGTTCTCATTCTCTTTTAATATCCACATACCCTATATTTTAATATTATTTATCTTCCACAAATTTATTGAATCTTAGGGGTATTATTTATATATATCAAATATAATAAATTATATTAATACATAAATAAGTAATTATAATAAATGTAATTCTAATTAAATAAATGAAAAACATCATCCAGACTTTGACAACATCTTAAACCTATCTAAAATGAACTTAAAAGTATAATTTTCATTGAACAATAATACTTAAAAAATCCATAATGAATGCTAATAATACTGATAATGTTATTAATGAAATAGAAAATGAAAGAAATGATAAACAATTACCTCAAGTACAAGGCATTAAAGAAAAGAAAGACAAAGAATTATTAAAGAAAATGAAATATAAAAGTGTTGATAAAAATATTGGGATTCAATCTCTTTATTTTGCTATTCTTTCAACAATGGGATATACTTTATTACTTGAAAAACCAAAAAAACATAAAACTAAAACATTAACAACAATTCAATTATATCAATTATATGATCAAAATGGAATATGTGTATTTAATAGGGATTGTATCTTTGAAAAAGCAAAACAATTAAACATTGGTTTAAACCGTCCTAATAAAGAAAGAATAATTCGACAATTTATTTTAAATGAAACAATTAATTCTATTATTCAAATTATTCAAAATAATCCATTAGTTTCTATAATAGAAGGAAGGTCAAAGAAAAATATTGTTAATGAAGAAGTACCATCTCAACATAAAATTCAAATAATTACATTAAATGTTAATGGTTCTTATAAAGTAATTGATTTAAATAAACAAGCATTAACTAATGGTAAAATTTATCATGAAGCATTAATAGGAATATTTGACTATATTCACTCAGATGGTATTATTATTAATGGGAATTTATTTAATATAGGATTTCAATTAAATCAACCATCAACAAGTATCATTGATAAAATATCACAATATTTTTATGAACATTCTTTATTACCAAGTAATACTTTTGTTCCAGTTATTGCTGAGTAATAATATTTTTTTATTTAATAAAACAATATTTATAAAATTAATTCTTTGTTCATTCAATTAAATCATTTGGGTTTTGATTATTTTTAAAATCATTTATTGTTTGTTGTTCATTCTCAACCAATGGTGCTTTTTCTTGATCTTTATGTTTAAATCTTGGAAGTAGTAATTCATAATATACTAACATTGATAATAATATGAGTTGTTGAACTGCACTTGCTGCATTACTTAACCATGTTGAGAATGGTTGTTTCGTGATAAATATCATATATAATGTTAATACAGTCATTCCTGGTGCTGTAATTGATAACATAAGCATACTTAAAGCCCCAGCAGCCTATTTTTATGAGAATTATATTATATTAAAATTCAAAAATTTACAAACTTTTCTTCTGAATGTCATATATATTTGAGGTGACCATTGAATAATAACACAAACAGCAGCAATAATACCATACACAAATGCAAAACCTCCTGTTATATCTCCACATTCTCCATCAGTAAATTCAAGAAGTGGAACTGTTCCTAAACAAATGATTGAAATAATTATTACAATAGGAAGACATATTAAAGGTAATTTGAATAATATAAACTCTTTCTTATTTGGATAAAATAATAAATAGAAAAAGATTTGGGGAAGATACACCATAGCTAATAACATTATTTGTGTCCATGAAACTAATACTGGAAAACATTGACTAAATCCAATATAAACACATGAATGAATATATGTTGCATTAGTTATGCATGCATTTGCTACTGTAGTAACCTGATTTATAAACTGAATAAGAAGATAGAATGGTGATAACCCACTACTATCTCTTGTTCTAATCAATTTAACATATTGCGGTATTACAGATAAAATAGTACCAATCATAATAACTAATCCTATAGTAAATGAAAGAGTTGATAAGTCTGGTACAAAGTCAAAATCACTTTCACTAAATTCACCATCAGGATTCTCTTCACATCCAGGAACTTTAAAGAAACCAAATGATGTGGTAATTAATAGAAAGAGGAATATCATTTTATATAAAGTTTTTTATGGATTTCTCTATGCAATTTATTTAAAAAATAATAACTATAGATAAGTCAGCAATTAGACTTTAGTTTAAAACTATTACCCTATAATTTTATTCAATACAACACTTTTTTTTAATAAAAAATAATGTCAATGATACATATAAATTAGAATAAATTTATAATAATAAGCGCAATTAATTAAGTATTATTAAAACATTAACATTTTAATATAAATTATTGATACTTTGTTTATAGATCTTATTTAGTTATAAATGTACATTCATTAATTAAATAATCATATTGGATTAGTATGTATTAACCAGTTTATTGATAAAGTTAGATTAATTTTTCCAAGTTTCTTTATTTACAAAATTATATATTAAAATTTTATCAATTTGATTATATTTTATATTATGGTAATAATTTATTACTATTTTGATAAATTAACATTATTAATATACATATATCATTTATTACCATTTAGAATTTGATAGATAATAAATGTTTTTTATTCTTAAAAAAAAGGAATAACCATACTAATTAAATCAAAATAAAATGAATATTATCTATTTTATTACTAATCTAACCAAAATAATAAAGAATATTAAATCAAACTTATTCAAAACACCGAATAAATATGTTTATATATCTTTTTACATACATTTATGTTTCAATTTATGATTTTTTATTTTTATATTTTAATGAATAATTAATAAAACTGATTTGAAGTTAATAATCGTTTCATTATTTTTAATTTATCATCCCAACATTTTTTTAATAAAATAATCCAAAGATAAATAAGTAAATAAAAAGTTGGACTGAACATTTGTTCATAACCACATCTACTTTTGAAATATGAAGAGAGTTATTGTATTTTATGAATAGAAAAAGAGAATAAAATACCTAGTGTAAAAATAATTATTGATAAAAATAAAAAATAACAAATAAACTATCATTCTTTTATTAAAGAAAATTTAATAGAAAATATTGGATGAAAGAATATTTCTATAAGTTCAAAAACTGAAGAATTAAAATAAGTTCAAATTATCAGATGACTGAAGAAAAGACAATGAAATGTTTATGTGTTCTTGACAATAATAAGATTGGCTGGATAGAAAAACCAATTCCTGAATGTGGTCCATTAGACGTTATCTGTAGACCATTAGTATTAACTCCATGTACATCTGATTGTCATACTGTTTGGGATGGAGTGTTGGGACAAAGAAAGAATATAACACTTGGACATGAAGCTGTTGGACAGATAGTCAAAGTTGGGTCATTAGTTAAAACCTTTAAAGTTGGAGACAAAGTTATTGTACCTGCAGTGACACCAGATTGGGGATCTTCTGCTGCTCAAGATGGATTTTCACAACACTCAAATGGGATGTTAAGTGGGTGTAAATATGGCAATATAAAGGATGGAGTTTTTGCAGAATATTTTAATGTCAATGAAGCTGACGCTAATTTGGCATTAGTTCCACAAGGAGTATCAAATGAAGATGCGGTTATGTTATCAGATATGGTAACAACAGGATTTTATGGAGTAGAATTAGCTAATATTCAGTTTGGAGATGTTGTATGTGTTTTTGGAATTGGACCAGTTGGATTAATGGCTGTACTTGGTTGTGTATTAAGAGGGGCGTCAAGGATTTTTGCAGTTGGATCAAGGGAACATTGTTGTGAAGTAGCAAAAGCATATGGAGCTACAGACATTATTAATTACAAAAATGGAGATCCAGTAGCTCAAATAATGAAAGCTACATTAATGAAAGGAGTAGATAAGGTTGTTATTGCAGGAGGGTCAAGTGAAGTTCTTTCGCAAGCAATTAAAATAGCAAAACCAGGAGCAGATATTGGAAATGTTAATTACTTTACTGATTTAACACATCCAATTGAAATTCCAAAACTTCCATGGGGATTAGGAATGGCTAATAAAACTATAAGAGGTGGAATGACACCAGGTGGAAGAAGAAGAATGGAAAAATTATCCAGTTTATTAGAATTTAAAAGGATTGATGTTTCTAAATTAATTACTCATAGATTTGAAGGGTTTGATAAATTAGAAGAAGCTTTAATCACAATGCATAACAAACCATCAAATTTGATTAAGCCAGTTGTTACTATTCATTATGAAGATGAAGAAACATTGCATTAAATTTTTTCTTTTTGGATATGTTTCAAATTTTAAATTTTAAAGAAATTTATTTAAAATAAAATAAATAACTAAAAAAAGTGAAATTGATATGAAACAACTTGATGGATATTCAATATTAATTGTTGGAAAATACTTTCAAAATATTCATGATTATTTTAATATTATTTTAGTAAATTCTAAATTCAAATTAACATTAGAGAAATACCATTATAATCCAATACCAATAACATTAAAAATGATAAAATATTTTCCACATCTTCAAACACAAATTATTTATTCAATTGATGATCCAATAATTAAAGGAATAAAAAATATTATTTATGACTGTAAAATAGAATATTCAACATATTTAAAAATTATTCAAGAAAATAAAACAAATAGAATTAAATTAAAGTTTTTAAGAATTGAATATTCTTTATATGACAGAGATGATTTTGGTGATACAATTCCAATTCAAGCAAATTATCTTGGTTATTATGCTTATGGTAATTATTCATTAAAATCACTTAATATACCAGAGTCTATTAAAATTCTTAGTCCACGTTCTTTATGTGAAAATTCTCTTCATTCTTTAATTATTCCAACTTCAATTCATTCTCTTCCAATTTCTTGTTGTTATTTATGTAACTTTCTTACTTCAATTCAATTACCAACTACTCTTGGTTCAATAGGAGCTTTTTGTTTTTATGGTTGCAGTTCTTTAAAAACAATAATAATTCCATCAACAGTTTCATTTATTGGAAATAGTTGTTTTGAAAAATGCTTGTCATTGAAGTCATTAATTATACCTGACTGTATTAATACTTTAAATGAAAGACTATTTCAAGATTGCACTTCATTAACTTTCATTCATCTTCCTTCTTCATTAACTCGAATAAGAAATAATTGCTTTTTTAATTGTATATCATTATATGAATTTGACTTTCGTCCATCTAATAAAATAATTAAATTTTCAATACCATTATTCACAAAACCTTTATTTGAATCAACTGGAATAAAAACTCCTTTTATTAAATTTACTAAATACGATCGTTTAAAAAATGGAAATATAATTCCACCTTTTGTTACTTCATTAGAAAAGTATTGTTTTGCTGGACTACCAAGTCTTTCTTCAATTTGTATTCCATCTTCAGTAACTAAAATTGGAAAAGGATGTTTTTCAAATAGTGATTATATTGAAACAATGTCTATTCCTTCATCAATTAAAGTATTTGGTACTAATTGTTTTAGTTGGAGACTTTCAACATATTATTCTTTTTGTTAATCAAACTATTCTTTTTATTCAAAAATTGTTTCTTTTATAATTTAAATAACGTACTTAATTAGTGTTTTAATAAGAAATGACGTTGAATTAATTTTTTTTTATTACATTTGCTTGTAAATTTTGGTTAATTTGACTACTAATGCAGCAAACGAAGGTCTTGCTTTAGCTACTTTCCAACAGTCAGCAATAATACTGTCAAACTCTGGATATGGAGATGGTGGTATTTCTAAAAGATTTCCGCTCAAAATAAATGAACGAACTTCTTCCATAAAATGAAACTGAGGAAATGGAGCTGATAGAGTAGATAATTCCCATAAAATCATTCCATATGAATATACATCACTTTCTAATTCAAATGTTGATGTTTCAATTACTTCTGGTGCTAACCAGTATAAACACTCTACACAATGACATGACTTAAAGTTTTCTGCAAATGTTGGAATACTTTGTCCAAAATCAGTAATAGCAACTTGGGTTATTTTACCTTCTTTGTTGATTTTTAATATAACATTTGGTGATTTTAAATCTCTATGAACTACTGGACATTTTTGACTAGTAAAT